ATTTGAAACATTAACAGCATTTGAACATTCAGGTGAAGAATTAGCAGATTCACGTTCAATGCACTTCAAGCATGGAGGAACAAATTCTTCCTGAGAAGCGCTGATTTGTTGAGCTAGTAATGAATCACGCTCCTTCTGAAGATCGTCATAACTCACTCTTAGCTTTTCAAGATCTTGCTTTCTTTGAAGAAATTCATAAGAAAGCTTCTCATGGTCAGATAAGAGAGTGTTATGATGACTTTGAAGGTTGTCAAACTTAGACTGAAGTCTCTGAAGATTTTTAGTCAAGGTTTTAGTGCGATCCATTTCTTCACCCAACATATCATCGCTCTTGTCTAGCATGTTTTGAACCTTTTCCAAGGCCTTTTGTTGTTTAGTGGCAATACAAACAAGCTTTGTATAGCTAGGACCAAAATCATCATCAGATTCATCATCACTAGACTTGGATGAGGAACATTCGGTTACCTTGGCACCCTTTGCCATGAGGCATGGTGCAGAAGATGATGGTTCAGGTTCGAAAGTCATCGTTTTGAGTGATTCCTTGAAATCCTTAAACCAGGGATCATGACAAGTTCGATGAACTTCATAGACGTCAGAGATTCGGTCCCAGATAAGCTTCGCATTGCAAAGATGCATAATGCGCCTGAATTCATCTCTGGATAGGCAGGAACAGATGATATCCTTCACCATGATGTCAAGTCGAGTGTAATTGCGAATATCATCAGTGTCCGTCATCTTGCATAGATCCGTAAGACCAATCTCAGTGATGGTCTACAGCTCGCTGTTCATTGCCATGAGGCACTTCCTCATCATGGCCTTCCACTTGAGATAATCATGACCGTCAAAGATGGGGCATGTCACTTTCTTCATACCTGCGGTCGACATAACTAAAACTCCAGGCGGTTAAACCAAAATCACACAGAACAAGGGAGCACCTTTCTCTGATACCAATTGAAAGTGTGTTATATCGACTAGAGGGGGGTGAATAGGCGATTTTTATGAATTCTTCAGTGAGGAATTTACAGGTGAGGAAATTTCTTAGCGAAGAACTACTAGCAGCGAAATAAGTACTCAAAAGTAAACATAACAGAACACAAGCATAGTCATCATGATGAAATGAAGATAAGCACAGAGTACTGAAAGCGTAAGCACAGGATAGCACAGGATGAAGACAAATAGACTGAAGAAATTAAACTGAGGAAATTGAGAAAGTCTTCAGTCAAAGTCTTCAAACACAGATATGAACAAGTGCACAACATAGTTATGAGGAAATGAAAGAGTTGAGGAAATAGAACCAGCTGGCTTGGTGAAGACAATGATTTGGTAGACCAATTCCAACTGCTGTGACAGTTGTACGTCTGGTTAGGGCGGCTAGGTATTTAAACCTGAGGACACACAGTCCCGGACACCCAGTCCTGAACACGCAGTCCAGGACACTTAGTCCTCACCGTATTCCCCTTGAGCTAAGGTCACACAGACCTCGCCCAATCACTCGTGATAAGTCTTCAGGTGACTTCCGAACCTTCACAAACTTGGTCACTGGGCGATCCACAATTCCTCTTGGATGCTCTAGACCTTGACGCCTAACCGTCTGGAAGAAGCACAGTCTTCAAAGGTAACAAGCGTCGGATCAACGCAGGATCAATCTCTTCAGTGATGCTCAATCACTTGGGGTTTGTAGGTGTTTGGGTTTGGGTTTTCCTCACTTGATGATTTTCGCTCAAAGTCCTCGGAGGATGGGATGCTCTCAAATGACAAGTGTTAGTTTCTCTCGGAGCAGCCAACCAGCTAGTGGTTGTAGGGGGTGGCTATTTATAGCCTAGGGAGCAGTCCAACATGATAAGACATAAATGCCCTTCATGATATGACCGTTGGTGGGTAGATATTTTGGGACAGCTAGCGCATAGCACATCAACGGTCGCAATTTTGAGTATCAAATTCCTCAGGGCTATCATGTTCCTCACTATGTAAGCAATCCGCACTGATGAATTCCTAACTCCTCAGTCAAAACAAATTCCTCGGAGACCAGAAGAACTTCGTCTCTGTCACTGAAGAATATGACTGAACTGTATGAGATTTCCAATGGCTTCACTCGAAGGGATTGGTAGGTGTAGGATTTTGAGTTGAGCATCACATGGAAAATTTTCCTTAGTATTTTCTCCACCCCCTTTAACAGTACGGTGTTTCCTAAGACTCAAGAAAGAGAAAATGAAACTACGAAAACAAAAGTCTTCACGCTTCATGTTCCTTGAATGAATGCCAAGTCTTCAAGGTCACACCAATTTCTTCACTTTCAAGGTCTTCAGAAAGTCTTCAGAAATTCAAAGTCTTCAGTCGAAGAACTTCATTTTTAGGGGTCGACTTTCTCTGTAAATATCAAACTCCTCATAGACTTATAGACCTGTGTACACTCACAAACACATTAGTCCCTTAACCTATAAGTCTTCAATACACCAAAATCACTAAGGGGCACTAGATGCACTTACACTCTCTCTCTCGTTGCTAGCATCTCCTAGATCGATCTTGGTGACACGTAGGAAAAATTTGAATTATTACTACGTTCCCCAACAGTGTCCCCCTCGGGCACTGTCTTGTGTTGATTCTTGTTCCCAAAAATCACATATATTTCAAAATAAATCTTCATATATTTTTATCGTGTTTGGACTTTGTTTAATATGGATATTCTGTGAAACAAAAATATGCAACAAACAGGAACTGACACTGGACACTGGATCCCAAAAATAATATAAATGTTGCCAAAATTATATGAAAGTTGTAGAATATTGACATGAAACAATAAAAAATTATAGATACGACGGAGACGTATCAACGCCCCAATGGAAGAGGCGGCCGACAACGACTCGGCGCTGAGGGAGTCCTGGATTCGGGGTTAGTCCATAGAGGCGATCAGCATAATCATAGGCTAGACAACTAGGGTTTAGCCATTACGATCTCGAGGTCGATCAACTCTTGTAACCCCTATACTCATCGAATACAATCAAGCAGGACATAGGGTTTTACCTCCTTTAAGAGGGCCCAAACCTGGGTAAACATGGTGTCCCCATTGTCCCTCGTTACCCTTGATCCTTAGACTCACAACTTGGCCCTCCTACCCGAAATCTGCTGGTTTTGACACCGACAGGTGCCACTGTCCTCACGGGCCCATCCCGGCATCACCATGGGAGAGTCCCGTGCTCACTACACCGGCATGGTGTTGGCCGAGCGGGAGGCCGCTTTTTCGGCAGGTACATGGCAACTAGGCCTACTACATCCGCCTCCTCGACGAGCACCAATGCGCGGAGGACCAATTCGTCGACAGCGCAACCATCGTGACAGACGTGGACGTGGTCGAGCAGGGGGCGTTGCTCAACTCCTATCGCTCTGCCGGTGACATCTGCCGCGACCGCTTGTGGTACTGCCTCCACTAAGCGGAGTTAGAATCCACCTTCAAGGAGATCGACTAGGCATTGGATGAGGTGTACGACAAGAGTGAGGACGACGTCACCATCTCCGCCACAGGCACGCCCCGCTGCCATGACCACGAAGTCGACACGTCCGCGGGCGCCGCCGACACCGAGAAAGAGTAGAGTATGGGAGGTCGTTGGCGCTTGGGTCCCAGGAAGGCCACCACTCCCTCCCGTTAAAACCAAGCTTGACGGGCTCAACATCGTCGACTGATTAGCCGCTTGCAGGCTGCGGAGACGAAGCTTTGATTCCGGTGCTCATGGCCTGCCCGACATTGGGAACGAGCGCTGACGGTCATTTAGACTAGGTTTAGAGCATAGTTTAGTTGACATATATCAAAATGTAATGAATTTGCTCCGGTTTAGATGAAAATCATCCAATTTTATGTAAAAATTATCCAAGTATGAATGAATATCACCCGATTTGTTCAAATACGCATCAATTTGTTCAATTTCATTAAATTTCTTCTAAAATGTAACTGGACATATGCGGTTACGGTTGGATGACCGACACCCGCATCAGTGTCCGCGGGCTGCTCCCCGTGTCCACATATGAATGTGGTGTCCGGTTTAGGGGTTAGGGTTGGAGATGACCGTATTGGCGGTGTTGGAAACATTAAAACAGAATGATCGCTTTGAAAATATTTGAAAAATTGCTTTTCTTTGCACCTCACGTCTTAAAGTATTTCATCATGAAAATATATACACATGCAGCACATGCGTTTTTTTTTCAGATTATCCTGAAACTTAAAATTTTGATTTCATTTTTTAAGGGCTCCATGGAGCCTGAGCCAGGAATGAGCCGGAGGCTCTAGTTTGGAAGAGAAAGTCATGCCTCCTTAGTCTGTCACACACCCAACATGTGTGCTGCTGCTGCAGGGATAATGACATCTCCAACGTAGATTATCAAGACCCACACAAATGTATGAAATGGGCTTTCTAGACACTTTTAACAATCCAATGTGATCACAAAATTAGGTCAAACCGGTCCGGACGTCCGAAATCCCAAATTGAAGAGTGCTTTGGGGGTCCAATCGGTCTGTCCGATCACTGTCAGTTGGGCCATATCTCCCCACAGTCCATGTCCAAAAGGCGCCACTATGCAAATGTGCACTATACTTAAAAATTATAGAAATAAATTATACACGCTATAAAACAGAACAAAAAAGGTACTAATGTATCATTGTTGTGAAGAAGGCTTATGATGCATATTGGCTCAAAACAATGCAAATATAATAGTACGCATCAATTAAAGCTTGCAGAGAAACGAAATTTACTCATTCCAAGCGAACTAAATAGAACTCCACAGGTTCACTTACTAAGTAATGGCAGATAGAAACACACAACAACTATATTTCTTAAATCCTCCAACTTCCACAAAGCACACTCATCACTCTCACTCACGCCAGATAATGGCACAAAAGGGTATGAGTTTTCATAATCAACGGTAACAATCTACCATTCAGACCAAGGATGAGAAGCAAATCATTTTGAAGTCATGGCAATAATTAATTCGGTCATTGCGGTCGGACTCTATTAAAATGAAGTCATGGCATCATCTTGACCAGCAACCATGGAATTATCTTCAGTCACTATATCTGACTTGTAACAAACATAAATGAAATGTGACTCTGGATCCTTGAGAACGTAGTCAGGTGGCAGTTGGCCATCCACTGTCAGTGCAACTTTCTCCATCATGGCGTGTGCAGCACCGTTGCTCCATTTCAGCTGGTATTCAGGTGTGGCTGCTAGCAGAAGGAACAGATACAATGTCAAGGTCTGATATCATATATGCCGCTCAGAGTTTGCAGAATGTTAGACCTGCCAGTTTAGTCTGCGTGTTGTTGCATATGCCACCAGTGCTCAATGCCAATTCAATGGAACAGAAAAAAGGACCAAAATACCTTTGTTTAATGACGTGGCGTGATCGAGGGCACGAAGCACAGACCAGGCAGGCTTCTTCGGTCACCATTGCCGCCGTCATTAATTCAAGTCAAGGTTGCCACTGAGGCACTGACTAACCATCAAACAAGGGTATTTTGGTCTTTGGCCATTGAAAGTGGCACAAAGGATTAGTGACATGTTTCCCGAATGACACATACAACAATATGCAAACCTAGATAGTAGATCCAAACATTTTGCAAACAAAAAAGGGCATATGAGTTCCCAATAAATGGTGCTAATTTATTCCCTCCCAAGATTCCCGAGTAACATTGTGTGCTATAATCAGCCTGTAGCAACTTTTTCATAACTCTATTGTAGTTCTTTAGCATCTTATGAGAATTGGATAGTAGAAGCAAAACTTTGCAGTTTTGCATCCATAGTTCGTACAGAATGAAGCAAACCTCGCACTCTTGAATCCATAGTTCCCACATAATAAAGCAAATCATATGCACAAAATCATGTTATAATAGAGTGTATGGTAGAAATGGTACTTGGGCGCGCTCTTCAGAGTGAGGAGAGGACATTTCAAACTTACGCATAATGTAAAGCTCAACTTCCCAACGGCATCGGACTTGATTCAGAAGTGTCAGGCGTTCCTTAGGGGCACCATATGTTATCTGTCAAAGAAAGTTATCTCTTCATAAAATCATCAAATATTCATTCATTCCAAAGTATCTTTTAGGATTAGAGGATGTACCAACATGTAAATCCCACCAGGCCTCATAAGCCTGAAAAGATAGAGCAGTTTAATTGAAAACAACTAAGGACATCAGTTGGGGATCAAATCACGTACAAAGAGTGGATACATCTTTACCTTGCCACTTCTGCTAGCATTTTGTAAGCACCATGAGGGGCATCATCGCCACACTAGAATATGTAAAATGAAAATCAGTACCATGAGATCATTTCATGCCTGATCATTTTTAAGCTGATTTGTAGTTTGCTAAACGACAGCTGCTTACCATCATAGCATCCAAAGTTCCTACAGAAAAGGTTTGGTACAATGGTAAATAGAGTGGCAAAGAAAAAAAAGATGCATGGACTGATTTGGATAAACTCAATGAGAAGAGTTCTCAAGACTAGTAACTTATGAAACATATCAAGTGCTTTCGAAAAATATATGAAGCTTAAGGCTTATACCTTTGTCGATGATACAATCAAATGATCCATCTCCAAAGAAGCTCATATCTCTGACATCCAACTGCATATCTTCAAGCATAGCATAAAACACCCAAGTAACTAGATTTATATAGAGATCATAACTGATAAGTTGTGAAAATGGAAATTATCAGCAAAAAGTACATGTAAGCTGTGGGAAATCCATGTGCTTCTCTTTCATCTGCTCGATTACAACGGATGAGATGTCTATGTTTACTATGTTCTGGTAACCATCCTTTACCATGTCCTCCGACAGAACTGCCCAAAACAAGGAATAGAACAACATCAAACAAGGCGTTACATACACGATAAACCATAAATCTAACAACAGAGCTAAGCTGCACGGGTAAATCTTGTACAAAGTTGATCCAAGTAAGTAAGGCATTGTCAACAATCATGATAAAATTCACAGAAGTGCGTGTCAGGGGGGCACTAAACATTAATCTTGCACAAAGTTGAAAACAAAGCATCGTCAGCAATCACAATAAAATTCAAAGAGCAGACGCATCAGGGGAGCACCGAACATTCAGGTTCCAAACCACAATGCATAGCGAGCACTGAACACGCGAGTTCCAATTTCCAATCCTAATGCACCGGTAACTGCGGATGGACTGGAATAAGAACCAGCTGCATCAGAGCACAAATTTTTCGAATTGGCAGCTAGATCGCGACTGGCTAATTAAGCCACGGCGTGTAAGTGTAACTGAAGGGGACGTACGGGAGTTGCCGCAGCCGAGCATGAGGACCTGGGAGGAGGCGGGCACGCAGGCGCGGAGGAGTGGGCGGAGCGCCGAGTACGACTGGTACCAGTCGAAGAACCCGCCGCCGCCGCCGCCGCCCTTGCCGCCAGTGGAGGGAGAGGAGTAGCGGGCGTCCCAGTAGGCGGCGGCGCCGAAGTCCTTGGGGTTGCAGTTGCCGCCGCCCATCTCTGGTCTCTCGCCGTTCGCTTGTGAGGGCTCGCGAGGAGAGAGAGAGAGGATGGCTCTGCTCTGGGGATCGTTGAGGGATTATGGCGTCGGGGGTCGCGGCTTTAGGAGCTCGCAAGAGCCGCCGATGCTGGGGCAAAGCTGGCCAGATGGGCCGGCATTGCCCGGCCTGGGATATCCATGCGTAGTCGGGTTCATTTTGGGATAACATCGAAGTCAGAAATACTAATAGTAGGTGATGAGTACAATTTTTCTTAAAAAAAGGTGACGAGTACAAATTATGTGATGATTTTACGTTTCATTTTGTGTCTACACCGTAGGTTTTGTTGGATTTTTATCGCGTTCGCGCACTTCTTTTTGTCCATTTTTCTTTGCTATGTGTTTTCTGAAGTATTTAGAGTATTTAGAAAAGAACATCGGAAAAGGTGATAAAATCGCGTCATCGATGTGATAAATGATTACCATATAAAAATGAAGGAAATTGGGAGAAGTTGGGGCTCCGCAGGGCAGCTTGGGCGATCGACGACCTCTGGTATGAGTGCACGTGCTTGTACCAACGGTCGTACCAGCCGCTACCGCCTCCTCCTGATCGACTACTTTCACCCCGTGCGAACGAATCGAAGATTAGATGCATACATACACTAGAAACTCGCACCGAACATAGAACCCTAGCCCCGAAAGGCATTCAGAGGGAGAATTGGCAAGAAGGAGATCACCATCTTCACCACCGCGTGCAAGGGGACGTCGGTATCAACCATTTTCACCATCACCCATCTCCATCTTGTTGTAATACCGAACCCCTCTTGCATTGTATTCCTCATTCGCTCCCTTCTTGTTTACCACTGCTATTCATATGATGTTTGTCGTCTCCATGTACGAGTAGACCCCCTAGTTCTCGGGGATATGGATGAATTATGATATGTACATGAGCTGAAATGTTAATAAGGATATGGGATTCCCTCTTGAATATTTGGTTTAATAGTAAGAGTGGTTGGGCTCCCCCAAATGTAAGGGTGATGTAACCTAGTAGTAAGAGTATTTTCCTTGGTTAGAGAGCCAAGGTTAATTGAACCAGTAGGAGTCATCTACCAAAACAAAGTGAGAGGTACCTAAACGCAAAGCATAAAACACGTTTGTCCCCAACACGGCAAGAGGGTTGTCAAGCCCCTTGTCTTGCTAGTTACAAAATTAAACTGCAAGTGATAGAGATAGTAGGTAGCAAAGTAAAATGGTAAAGTAAAAGTAGAAATTGTGATGAAGATTTCAGTAATGGAGAATAGACCCATGAGGCCATAGGTTCACTGGTGGCATCTCTATCCAAACAAGCAAGTGGTGTGGTGAACAAAATATAGTTGGGGAGCAATTAAACTGTAATATTTATATTCATGACTATGATCATTTATGGTATAATCTCCTATAGGCATTACGTCCGTGATAAGTAGATCGTTAATCCAACTACATCTACTACTAATGCTCCACTAAAAAATGTTATCCAGCATGCATCCCGAAGTATTAAGTTTAGAAAAAACCAGAGCATTGCAATAAGCATGATGGCATAATGTAGATAGCAAAATATCAATCAATATGACGAGACACCATCATTTTATCCTTAGTGGCAACAATACAATATGTGTCTTGGCCCTTATTGTCACTAGGTTAAAGCAAAGTAAGATTGAACCCACTAAAAAGCATCACTCCCTCTGAAGAAAAATCCATCAAACTTGGCAAGAGTAGGCAGATAGATCGGAGAGCATGCAAAGCCATTCATCATACAGCAAAAAACCTCAAAGATTTAATTGTATTCAATGAACAATCAGATCATAAAGTGACAATTCATCGTATCCCAACAAACACATCCACGAATTAGATCGAATTGATCTCGATCACGTGAGGCAGCTCACGGGAACATGGTATTGAAGATCCAAAAGGGAGAGATCCATTTAACTACTACTATGGACCCTAAGGTCCTAAGGGACTACTCGCACATGGTCATGGAGGTAGCAAGGTTGAGCAAGAAGCCTCCGACAATGGATTACCCCTCCGACAGAGTATTGGAGTAGGCCTCTAGATTGGATCCCCCTAGGAACAGAAGCCTATGGCGACAAAAAATGGATAAAAATATCTCGGGGGGTTTCTCTATTTATAGGAATTTATGGCGGTGGAATGGATGAAAGGCGATAAGTGTGGGGCCCCACGGGTAGCCCTATGGGCCCCCCTTATCTCTCTTGTTGCCTCCTGATGCTTTCTGGTACCTTTGTGCTTTGTTTTTTTTATTAAATTGGCACGGTAATTTGACCTCCGTAGATATGGATTTTCTGTAAAACCAAAAACATGCAGAATAACACTAGGCACTAGATTAATAGATTAGTCTAAAAATAATATAAAATGCTATAAAAAAAGTATACAGAAGTGATAATATACTTTCATGTATTCACCATGTGTTAATGCTTTGTTCTGGTTCTCTATTAAAATAAGTCTTTAATATCCCTTGGTTTTCTTATGGATCTCATTACCACAGGAGGGTAGGACAAAAGATGTCATGCAAGTTCTTATTATAAGCATGTATGACTATATACAGAATACATGCATACATTACATTGATGAATTGGAGCTATTGTGTATCGCTCTAGGTTGTGACTGTTACATAATGAATGTTATCCAACACAAATATTCATCGTTGATCCAATGTCTACGCTTTTCACATATTGATCTTTGCTAAGTTACTTTCATTGCTGATGCTGTTACAATCACTACAAAACTGCCACAGTTACTGTTACCGTCACTATTGTTACTATTACTATTGCTCTCAAACTATCATACTATTGTTCTACTAAACACTTTGCTGCAGATATTTAGTTCTCCATGTGTGGTTGAATTGACAACTTAACTACTAATACTCACAAATATTCTTTAGTTCCTCTTGTGTCGAATCGATAAATATGGGTGAAATACTACCCTTGAAGACTGTCATGATCCCCTATACTTGTGGGTGATGACCCACAAGTATAGGGGATCGATCATAGTCCTTTTGATAAGTAAGAGTGTCAAACCCAACGAGGAGCAGAAGGAAATGACAAGCGGTTTTCAGCAAGGTATTTCCTGTAGGCACTGGAATTATCGGTAACAGATAGTTTTGTGATAAGATAATTCATAACAGGTAACAAGTAACAAGTGTAGCAAAAGTGCAGCAAGGTGGCCCAATCCTTTTTATAGCAAATGATAAGGTTGGACAAACTCTTATATAAAGCAAAGCGCTCCCAAGGACACATGAGAATTACTGTCAAGTTAGTTTTCATGATGCTCATATGATTCACGTTTGTTACTTTGATAATTTGATATGTGGGTGGACCGGTGCTTGGGTGTTGTCCTTACTTGTACAAACCTCCCACTTATGATTAACCCCTCTCGCAAGCATCCACAACTATGAAAGAAGAATTAAGATAAATCTAACCATATCATGAAACGTGTGGATCCAAATCAGCCTACGAAGGAACGCATAAACTAGGTTTTAAGCTTTTGTCACTCTAGCAACCCATCATCCACTTATTACTTCCTAATGCCTTCCCCCGGGCCCAAATCATGGTGAAGTGTCATGTAGTTGACGATCACATAACACCACTAGAGGAAAAGACAACATACTTCTCATCAAAATATCGAATGAATACCAAATTCACATGATTACTTATAACAAGACTTCTCCCATGTTCTCGGGAACAAACATAACTACTCACAAAGCATGTTCATGTTCAAGATCGGAGGGGTATTGAATATCATTAAGGATCCGAACATCTGATCTCACTACAAGGATACCCCTTATAAAGCAACACAGCTTCTACAACATTTTGGCTAAATGTTGTAAAATTCATAATAGATACGCATATTATAGGTTGCAGATATGCATTGCAGAATTCTAGCTCTTGATCCTACCGTGGGACATATATGAAAAAAAATAAAAAAATAAAACAAAAAAGGAGAGAGGGATGCGCCAGAAATAGAGCCCCCGATGCCCCTCGTCTCTCCCAAATCGCCGCCACCAATCGCCTCGCCACCTTCCTCCCACCTCGCCGCCGGCCCTCCCCTCCGCTCCTCCCACATCGCGGCTATGGAGGCTACCGGATCCGCCTCATCCCCCACCAACCCATCCCTCTCACAACCCACCTTTCTCTCTCTCTAGATGCAGCTCCTCATTGCGCCACCTGCGGCGGGCTGATTCAGGCGACGTCCGGTGAATCCCGCCATCATGAAGCACAACCCGAGGTCCCCTCACACCACGACGCCCTTCCATATGGCTAGATCCGGCGCTCGCGGCTACGAAAGCCCAGCCGCGACCTTCCCTCGATGGCTAGGGTTTTGGGAGTCGGCTCCTCCGCCGGTGGCCATGACGTCCTTCTCGTCCGGTGAGTGAATCCCCTCCCCTGGCTTTGTCCTCTCTCTCTTCCCCTTTCTCTAACTTCTGTTCTTCTCTTCTCTTCTCCTGTAGACGTCTAGGTTTGCACCCCCGATTCTATTGGAGCAAATTGCTGTCAAAAAAGTTTGGCCCTTGTGCGATGAACACTTCTGTGCGATGAACACTTGACAAGCCTGCAGACTGAGTTCCGATCTCCATTTATTTACATTCATGCACTGATTGCTATTCTATTAAATTAGTAATTATTAGATATCAATGGAGCATCAAATTTTTTAAAAATTCTTATTAGTCATAAATCCTTGATACATAAGTCGGTAATCCTTTCAAATTTTATTTATGTAGATAAGAAGTACTTCATATATGCGGACCCCATCTTAAATAGTCTATTGCGAGAGTTATAATATTTAAGGAGGGATGCAGTCTTAATAGGTCTCTGTACGACAGTTTTGATGAGTTACTAATCGAAGTTTTTGTTGAAATTTCAGTCTTCTGGAGTCTGATGGTCAGGCTATTTAGGTGGCGGTGTAGCTTGCTAATGGTGGCTTTCACGTCCATCTCAAATACTAGAGAACGTGGACCTGTTGGGGGAAGC